TGTGGGAAAGATATTTAAGACTTGGCTACTGATGGCGTTACAAAGTGAAAATCGCAGCCTTTTTTTGGTACCAAGAACGTTGAGAATTTTAAAATGAAAAGTTCTTACCTTCCAGGGTTTTTGACAATGCGTCTTCTTGGTAGTTGTAATTCCCTTTGAAGGAAACCTGTCAAAAGGAAATCCAAGGGAAGTATTCTACCCATAAATGTCAAACAGTCATCCCGGGCCCTTTAAACGTTGGATGGCTGTTTGACATTTATGGGTAGAATACTCCTTCAGTTTACCCAAGTAATTGTTCAAGAAATGAACAAATGCACTGTGGTTATGTTTATATTCTAAGAACCGAGTTCAGTGATTTTATATCAAAATTAATGCGCGTTTAAATTACCTTTCTATATATATGTCTTCTTGCTACTCCTAATTTTCCTAATCATTAAACAATGGTAGAATTCTAATAATCTGGTCTCAAACGTCCCCGTTCATGAAGAGCCTGGTTTCAGGTGTTCTGGTTAGATTAGGGAGTCTATCGAGCGAGGGTAAGTTCTTAAGAGCCTGTTCCCGAGTGTCCTGGTTTACGTTCATCGATCGGGGCGAGGAAGGGGGGGGTTTGGGGGGTAAGTTGCCTTACATATTATCTGATCTCAAGCGATCCAGAAAAAGTAATCAAATGCTTTCTAATACCATTCTCATGTCCACCGAAAACGTGAAATTTTATCAGCCTGGTCCCACGTTTCCAGGCTCGATTAGGAAGTCTATCTACAGAGCGTACATTCCTAAGAACCTGGTCCCAAGTGTCCGGGCTCACGAAGAGCCTGGTCCCAAGTGTCCTGGCTCGATTAGGAAGTCTTTCGACCGAGTTTACCTTCCTAAGAACCTGGTCCCAAGTGTCCAGGCTCACGGAGAGCCTGGTCCCAAGTGTCCTGGCTCGATTAAGAAGTCGTTCGATCGAGTTTACCTTCCTAAGAACCTGGTCCCAAGTGTCCGGGCTCACGGAGAGCCTGGTCCCAAGTGTCCTGGCTCGATTAGGAAGTCGTTCGACCAAGGGTACCTTCCTAAGAACCTGGTCCCAAGTGTCCTGGCTCACGGAGAGCCTGGTCCCAAGTGTCCTGGCTCGATTAGGAAGTTTTTCGACCAAAGATGAGTTGGCAAACAAAGAACCTGGTCCCAAGCGACCACGCTTAAAAGCAAGGACATATTCACTGCCTCGTTAACGCCTTTCGTTTTATTGTTGATAGATTCCTAAGAGCCTGGTTCCGAGCGATCCAGTAGGAAGTTATAAAATATGTAATTTTACCACCCCAACACGCTAAAGAGAAAACTGAGATAGAATCCTAAGAACCTGGTCCCAAGTGTCCGGGCTCACGAAAAGCCCGGTCCCAAGTGTCCTGGCTCGATTAGGGACTCTATCTACTGAGGGTACGTTCCTAAGAACCTGGTCCCAAGTGTCCGGGCTCACGAAGAGCCTGGTCCCAAGTGTCCTGGCTCGATCAGGAAGTCTTACGACCGAGTTTACTTTCCTAAGAACCTGGTCCCAAGTGTCCGGGCTCACGGAGAGCCTGGTCCCAAGTGTCCTGGCTCGATTAGGAAGTCGTTCGACCAAGGGTACCTTCCTAAGAACCTGGTCCCAAGTGTCCTGGCTCACGGAGAGCCTGGTCCCAAGTGTCCTGGCTCGATTAGGAAGTCTTACGAGCAAGGGTATTTTCATGAGAGCGTGTTTCCAATTACCCTGGTTCAATCAGAAAGTTCTTTCCCCGAGTGTAGAAAAGGGTTTAAACTATTAAGATCAAATAAATGAGTGCCAATTACGTTGATTTCCTAACCTTAGAGTCGAAGAATGTTTCCATTTCTGTCTCCTCCTGTACGAATAATAGAAAAATGTTAATTACTACTAGTAACATTTCGCCACTATGAGCGTAGGGGGTGGGTGCTAAGAAGTAAGACAGAAGTCCATTTAGACTATCCACTCCATGAGGAAATCTGATCTCCTTGCAATTTTACCCATTGAAAATATCTAAGATTGTACTCAGGGTGGTGTATTACAAAATGTAAGCAACTTAAAGGCTAATGCTGCATTCACAGCGAGGTTTAAACACGTTTTAAAGGTGTTTAGTTAAACAAGGTTTCAAATTTTTTTTTTCATAGAAGTTACTATCGGGTATCAGTTCGTTTTATACTTTCTACCTACTCTTTCAGTAACATTCAGCGTTTCGTTGTGGCTGATCGTTTCCTGGTGGGAAACAACATGGTGACCTCTTTGTAGTGTAAAGTAGTGGGGCAAAGTTTCCTTTGTTCCTGCCCAATCGTAGACTTCCTGTCGCATTGAGAAGAATAACATAAGAACGTGGTAAAAATTTCAGTTATTTACGGTTCTACTTCTCATTAACCTTGAACGTACTTGTTTGTACACAACGCATGTTTTGAGTTTTGTTGCATTGCACTGAGTTAGTAATGCGTTCCGTAAAAATTTAGAGTAATGGTTATGGTTTCTTTTTTAGCGAGTTCGGAGCAAGTCAAAACAAGAGTGATGGGGCTAATTACTTAACTTTGCCTCTAAGTTTGTACCAGGTAATTCAAAAAATACGCAGATAACTTAGATATTATTTGAAACGATTAACTCTTTTTAGGTAGTGCTGTTCCTTACCTGAAAATGAGCGCCTCTTTTAAATTTCCTCGAGAAGGTCCCCGTCGAGGCACGAATTCGTATTGTTAACCCATCCTCCGGCTCATCGGACAGGCGGGCTTTCCTTGCCTTTTTTTCATTATCCTGCAAAGTCGTTGCAGCTAAGCTTTAATGTTTATGAAGACGTTATATTCAATGTAGTACGTAAGGGTGGCAACAATAATGGGAAGCCACTGTTGCTTTCGCTTAAAGCCACTAATATGTTGTTTTGATCTAGCCACATACGGCAAACAGGCATAGAGAATAGGCTTCTACTCTGATGATGCAAGTAGTGTTTACCTGTCGTTCAGCCTTTCTTGGCTCACTTTCTTCCTGTTGTGCCTTATCCAATTGCGCTCGACGAAAGTTGTCGTCTTGCTCTTCCCTCTCCGCCCGGAACTTGTCGAGTTGTTCTCTGCGAAATTGAAGTCAAGGCTAGTAGATTACTTAACAGTTGTACATCTGCCTATCGAGCCCCATCAACACATGCAATTTAAAAATTTTAAAAAACTTGCTTATATACATCTGCATGTATGTACATGTACACTGTTAAGGCCTCGTGGGACAGCGTTCCACATAATAATAATATTAATAATAATAAGTAGTAAAAATAAATAATTAGTATTAGTTCTTCGCCTACGTTTCACCTACTAATAACTAATGAAAGTATAAGCTATGAATTGTCTTCAGCTGGCTACATACTTAAAACTTAGAATCGCAAATACATGCTTACAATTACACAGATTGCTTCGATTATCAAAGTGTTTGAGACTACTAAAAACACTTACAAAAATGGTGCATCGATCAGCACTCATAAACTGGAAGATAATGGTCGATTCTACATGTACCTTTGCGACGACAGCACTTTGAGGGCGTCGCAAGTCTTTTCCAGGACCTCGGACAACGTGTCATGGATGTCTAATTCCGTAAGGTTGTTATCTGTTATAACACAAGCAGATTACGAAATAAAAATATGTTTTCCTTATTAAAAAAAACCTCAAAAAGGTTAGGTTATGCTATAGTAGCTGAAATTTTTGTTCCATTTGAATTTCCAAGAGGCTGGTTATCAAGAACGGAGAAACTTTGTGGCAAAAGTTCCTTGTGTGTGACTTTATAATTCGACCTTGAAGAAGATACGAGGTTACGCGTATTGGCTTGTATGCTTGATTTGAGGTCTGTAAGCAATGCATTCTTCTTTATAACAAGAGAACGATATCGAAGGAAACTTAAATATATTGTCAAAACCTACCATGAAGTTGCTTCACCAACGTTGACTTCCATGTCGTCGATGGCAGAAGAAACAGCATGGAGTTTGCGGTGTCTCGCACACTAAACATGCTGCAAACTTCAAGAGACAGAAATCATGCAATTATTGATTATAGTTATAACGTGTGTCTAAGTACCATTTAGCGTTGCTAGAAGTGTGTAAGCTGATTTACGTCAATGTGTATGATAGCGTGAAATTAACATTTACCTATTCTACCATTAACTGACGTAGTCTCAGCAATCCAGAACAACCACTGCTGGTTCTTGCTATTCAGCCATCTAAGAGCCCTGAAAATGATCAATTAAATGTCACTGACGCTAAAATTATGTCCACTTTGCCCATTCATAAGCATAATTTTGCAAGTTTAGGTTTGATTTTAATAAACAATCAATAATTATACATAACTGGACACATGTGTGTAACTTAAACGTTCCGATTAGTAGCCCTAATAATCAATCTGCGTACTTGAGATGCTCAAACCAGTGCTACTAGCTTCCTCAATAAAAGAACAGTATATCCAAAAACGTTTAGCAGCAACAACTGCACATTTTCGCATTCTCATGTGTTGCACCTGCCTACCTTACAATGCCTTCTCTGATGGCCATGTCTTCCTTTTTAGGGTTTGACAAGATTACCCCCATCGCCTTATTCATTTGGCGTGCCTGCCAGCAAAGCTAAAGAACAATACACAACGTTAAAAAAATCACTGCTGATTTTTTTTTGAAATAAACTAGTTTATGTTTATTAGTAACTTTACCCCATCAACCAAAGTGCATCGGTTTTGGTGTATTTTTGTTATTTCCTTCGTCTAGATTAAGTCTTTTTTATTTGTTTCGTTAAACGCTTAAGTCTACTTGTTTTGGCCCAATAACGAATAGCTCTTTGCGGGATTTAAAGGCAAACATTCTATCACTACACTAGTAATACTGAGCAGGTCGTGAGTGTAGTTATTGTTAATACTAGCTTAATACTAGCCTGACTGCTGCACGTTCTGAAGAATACGGGGGGGGGGGGGGTTGGGTGGTGGGAGCACTTGAGTAACCAGTCCCCTGTATTCTTTGCTTCAAATACCATCTACCTTTGCGCGTGTGACGGAAAAAAGGTACATAACTTTACCTCGTGAAAAGAGTCCACCAGAAAACACGGCAAGAATGTGTCCTCTCCCTTGCAGGCAGCCAGAAGTCGTTTTTCCAAACGAATCACTTCATTCGTTCTTGAAGGTAAGTTGGAACTGTCTTCAGGGTAAAAAACGAAAGCAAATTCCAATCATAATTTTTCCTCCATAAAGGCCTTACATCCATAGTATAAACTTTCACTCAATAGCTTTGTATGGTTTCAACGAACTATGGGTGATTAAAAGTTTCTCTTACCTCCCAACCCTTGGGGCGACAGGTCTTCTTTGACTGTCCCAACTGTTTTTAAGTTGCAATTCAAAAGAAAAGAAGAAAACATTAGTTTAGCTGTAGTAATAAAAAAATTGAATCGATTAACCATCACTAATGCTTTGGAGTACCTTTTGAGGACAAGAAGTTGACAATAATCAGTAATCAGCACAATTATTGTTCATGTCAGTCATGAATATTTGTTTCCACGAAGCTTCACGTAGCAGATACATTACTTTGGCTGACACTGCCAAAACACACCTTGCCCTTTAATTGGCACGAGTCTGATAATTGAAGCTTACAGACTAACCAGAAGCTTGCTTGTCACCTTGAAAAGGTGATAAGCTTCTGCCTTGACCTATTAGCGAGGAGGCATTTTAAAACCAACAAGAGACTGTAGCATTTCAGAATTTCAGTAACAATGAAACTGTATTTCAACAAGAGCATCCACATAATATGAAAAAAGGTCATGAATGACAATTCTTTAAAGACCATACATGACGTTACCTTTGGTGCCTTCACTGTAGAAAGGTGTGCCAAGAATACCTAAAAAAAAAAGTAACAAGCATGGACCCTTGCACAAAGAACAATTCACATTTGAGAGGCAGTGATATGGCATGGAGTGTGTAGATTTACTTTGCTTAAAAAATGTGGGATTTTGAAATGTTAACTTGGCATATTAAATAGTGGAGTGCAACAGCAAATCAAAATGATCCTCCTATGGGAGGGTAAAAGGAGCACACTGCTGCTATAGGTTAATGTAATGTGTGTAATTCTCTTTTCTTCACAACTGTAGTTAACTCAGTATCCTACATTTGCATCTTCTCAAACAGGGTATAGTGTGTGTGGCTACCAGAACATGGTATATAAAGGGCTATTCACCTACCAAAAAAATGCAAGCCCCCCCAAAAAATAATAATACCTGTATTTATTCACTTAATGCTTGTTTGATCAAAAACTGCTCAAAACTCGGGGTGTATCTTATAACTATTGTTTGTAATGTGTGACTTTTTCACTTTTGTTTGGAGAATGAAAGCACAGTAATTAGTACCTTTTGGAAGCAAATTCTTGTAAGTACTGCGAACGTGGTCAACAAAATTTCACGTAATTCTGGGTGCGCCTTATAACAGGGTATTTAGGTGAAATTTTCATTTTGCTTACTTGTCACAATTGTCTTCAAAAGTTTAGGGTGCGTCTTATAATCACGTGCACCTTATAAGTGAATACATTTGGTAATTGTTGACTGGAATAACTGAGTTAAAAATAATCAGTTTGGTGTTACATGTACATCATCACACTTTTTTATTTTCTAATAAAACAACTATTCACCTAAGTGTTGCGGCAAGCGGTGGATATTTACCTTGTCGCTCTGTGGCTCGACAAAATTAATATCCACCACTAGCAAACTCCACTTCGGTGAACAGTTATTAGTACCTAACTCCTACTATGTACCTTTGGAATAACTGGATACAGTTGTAGTTTCTGTTGCAGATGAAGGATATCCTTGCCAAACTGAGTAATGAATGACACACTTATAAATGCAGATCATGTCATTTTTTTAGATTATTAAAAGAAGTAATATCCATGCCTTCTTAAGAAGTAGTAAGCCCAATTTTTTAAAGTCTATTCCATTATTTCTTTTCTTTTCTTTTCCTTTTTTTTTTTTTTTTTTTTTTTTTTGGGGGGTGGGGGTATGGACAAATTTATATTCATCTGAAAAAAAGAGGAAACCTTTATTTTACAGGCTTCACATTCACCCAGTTGCGATGTTTTTCAACCTGTAAAACAGCGTGATCTTTAGATAAGAGAATGTGATACACTCTGTCAAGTATCCAGGGGAAAGTACAAAGACTTTTGTCTCTAACAGTATATTGTCCTTTGGCAAAGTTCCTTCTTCATTTATTACATGATCATAGAACTTGGGGTGTTGAGACTACAATACTGTGGCAAAACTCACGTCCCAACCCCTGCACTTTCACCAATCAGACAAGATTAATTTACTTGTCAATGATGTCACAGATGATACGGTAAATGGTTAAGCTTAAGGTTGTATTGCAGGGACTAATTAGAACAAAGTTCCTACCATGACTCTGGTCCAAATCTATCACCTCTGTATGCGAACTCCGAGATAAATCAACATCTGTTGAAATATACATTGACATTACTCAAAAGTGACCATGAGATATCAACATTTTGTCGTACAAATTATGGCATCTTCCCTGGGCATTAGAAATGATTTTTATATGAAAGTTAGGGGCACTTTCTTCATATTTAACAGACTATTCAGAATGTTATTACAGGAAAGAAGGTTCTTAGCAACTCTGAGATTGTCACATGACTTGTATGTAAATTGTAGTTTTGAGTGACATGGGAATGTGTGGAGCCAATTTTGACAGTCTTACCTTGATAAAGGTCCACATCTATCACTTCCCCAAATGGACTCTGTAGTAAATTAGCATCTGTGGAAATATGCATTGACATATCACGAGCAGATATTACGTGGATACTTCCAAACATAGAGTGAAAATTTAGGTTGGATGGCTAAGCAGAGAAAGAACTTGACCATTTTTTTTTTCACTTGTTCATTATTAATTATTTCTAAGCTTATCTTTTCTTATTGACTGAAACAACATACTAATGTACTGGTTCAAAGTCATGAGAAGCAATGTAAACAAGCATGGGTGAATGTATTCCAGGAGGAATCATGTGGCTCAGTATTGTTTAAGAATTCCAGGTGTCGTGCTGGCTTACATGTATGCTACCGGGGTAGTTCTTTCGTTTGTGGCTTCTGCATTAATTTTTTAGAGCCTATCTAAAACAGCATAATGGCACATTTTGTAAATATACAATCGAAAATATGCAATTTTGGGTTACTTTTGTCAGAACTATTAATTTTTGGGAAGGTCATTTGGCTTTATAACTGTTTTTAACCTTTCACAATCGTAGTTTTGAGGCTAATTTACATTATACTCTGGCATGTTTCCTATTCAAACTTACCATTGTCCATCTGCTGTGTACTGGCGGACTGACTTAGGGCAGTTAAGTATTGTCTTGTTTCAGCTGGAAAAATTAATGTTCATCTTTTGATTAAATTATGCCTGAAAAATACCCTTTGTCCTATTTGCAAGGCACTTTAACCCTTTGGCTCCTAAGGGGTCCCCATTTCACAAGTAAAATCGTCTGGCATTAGAGTAACATCTATAAAGTCACTCTAAGGGGGAAAAAAAGATAAGGGAGATAGCTTTTTAATTAGAACTTAAGAATCGGCTGTCTTTTGGTTTTGATAACAAGGTCTCAGTTTATTGTTTCATTCTTAAATTATTGACTACTGCAACCCAGGTAACAACAAAGACATAATATACTTAATTGCTAGCTGTGGAAGATCTTGACGATCCCTATGTAAAACAATCACTTTCAGAATTATCGGAAAGAAAGAATGCACTACAAATTGAAAATGTATATTAGAGCCTGTTTTGAATCCTAATTCCATTTGCCTTTTCAAATAAACCGAAACAACCTGTCGTGTATTTACAACTGCCAAGTTCTTTTCGAATAGGGGTCCTACCGGAGTATGTGTAAATGCTGTGATTTTAGCGAAGAGGTTGTCTATCAGATGCTTATTTTACCTTTGCAATACAGATGGGTCGTTTCTGTATAATTTTTAATGCCCTCCATTGAATATAAAATCAGTGTGTTTGTTTTTCTTTTGCTGTGTTTTTTTTTGTTCCTTTTTTTAGTGATAACTTGGGAATGCAAGTGGAGGCAGATTTCTTTGCTACATGTTTATACTTGCCTGCATCTCTAGGTACAACTGCGTTTGTCCTTCCTTGTGTGGCAGATGCAGATCCTATATCATTTCAGAGTTGGACCTCTCTGAAAATGAAAGCAGTCAAAACATTACAACTCTGCATACTGTGACTGGAACTGGCAATGGGAGGTACTTGTCTCTGGTATGTAAACTTCAACTACAGGTGTAAGCTGTTATTGAGTGACTCTGCTGTTTGAAAAGGTTGGCCTCAGGTAGAAGTCTCAACACTTTAATTCAGACAAAGAATTATTTGCATACAGAAAGATATAGAACTGAAAGGAAAAGAATGAGTTTTGAATGTCTGCGAGTAAATGAAAATTGTGTTAACATTTAAATGTCAGTACCTCCATTCTCATCATCATTCTTCAGAATGAGGTAGACCCTTTTAGACGTGCCTCCTTTAAACTTGTGCAACAATTGTGTTGCATCTGGCATGTTTTTGGCCACCTTCTTCAAGATGCTACCCCGGCTGCCAGATTTGTAAAGGCGTATTCTGTCACAAAAAAAAAGAAAAACTTAGAAGAAAATGAGACTGTGCTGCCAGGCAACACTCTTGGTGAAAGTTCATCACACAACAGGCAAGGAAGCTTCTGAAGCAGTATGAGAAAGACAATTACAGTATATAAATTAATATAAATTAACCTTATACTAAAAAATTATTGGACCACTGTTTGTCAAGCATACACTGAAAAAATTACCATGGTGCTCCTCTCTGATTTGTGTGCATGGCTGTGGTCTGGTATCCTGGTGCCTTAGTCACCCAGGTTTTCCTTTGGGCAACTTGATAACTTTGTTTTATGAAAGCTGACAAGTAAGAGCTGAGCACCCCAGATTTCCTTTAGTTCAATTCTGCTTAGAGCACAGCCTTGCCATTCCCCTGAAGGGCCAAAATTTTTTTTGAGACCGCCCCTTCCCCCCTTATCTAAAGGTCTGGATGACCCCCCCTCCCTATCGCAAGGTCTAGATCTGGCACTGGTTAGACGTCAATAAGTGCAATGTTTTCTCTGGTAACATAGTAAAGTAACTTATCCTACCCCATCAGGTCTAACCTCTGATGTGGTCTACACTCTGTATCGCACTTCTTTTTTACAACATTGGATGAGGGGAAGTAGGAAATAAGGCATGCTTGAGAGATTTAAGAGTGTTATAGAGTTTTCTCGCAACACGTTTTGTCTAAGATTGAAGGTAGCAGGGCTCGGGGATATCACATTTGGGCTGAGCACTTGACAATGAAATCCCGCAAGCTATACAGGGTGAATACTACAATACATTCAACGTTTTGGTTAGTCACTGAATTGTGTATGCAATAAAACTGCCAATAATTGATAAGTATTGCTTTTTACCCAAGCAGGTGATAACTTTGGTGTTTCATAGTCTGCTCCAGTTTGTTAGTTCTTTGTATATCACTTGATATGCTTTCGAAAGACTATATTTGCAGTCAATAATAAAATAAAATTGATCGATAATCTTTGGTTGTGCTTGATATTTTGATAACACGTGGGGGAAATTTAAAAAGTAACACAACGAATTATAGAGAAAGAAACAAATGGAAGTTCTGACGAGTTATCTTCAAAATTGTATTATTTTACTGATGGTTGATTTTTCTGTGCTCCACGCGCGCGCACTCGCGCTCCGCGCTCGCTGTGATCCACTCCCTTCGTTTCGTGAACTCGAGGAGTGCGAGAATATCACGTTTCCGGGCACTGACAGAAATTCTTTGGTCAGCCCAAAAAGTTATTACGCACGACAGTGCCTTTAGTCATTCTACAACTTCAAAATTATTGCTTAAGATTTGCTTTAATCAAACGTTGCCTGGACGAGCAGTATTTTTCCCGGGAGGCGCATCTGCTTACGGCTTTGTTACGTAATTTTAGAGGCGAGAATGTTCCGTTTCGCGGCACAATCATAATTGTTTCTACAGATGGAGCTTACCTTTTGAAGTCAACTTCTGCCAATTCGGGGAAATTCTCTTTTATTTTGTCCCTCATCTGACGTTCGGTGAATTTCTTCCCGAACTCGATCTCCTTTACTCTTCCCTCGCGATTTAGTTCATCCCAAGGCCTTCCACGTGGGATTGCTTTAGGTAGACCCCTCAACCATACAAAGGTTCTCGACGATTTCGGTCCAGTTCGTGCAACAGAGGGAGATGCGGGTCTCTCGCTATCACTAGAGGAGCTAGATTCCGCCATGCCTGAAAGGTAAACTGAAGCGCTCAAAGTGCGGAGCCTAACAGTCATATTATATTACAAGCTGAGAAGAACAATAACACTTCCGGCGTATGTGAACCGCCCTTCAGTAGTCAAAAGTAGTGTGTGTCCCAGATGTTGATAAACCTCCTTAAAGACAACGTACAATTGTATCTTTCACTAAATTTTCACGAAGTTGCAGTTCGACTTTCATTATATCTGTTCACTCTTTCTCTTTAATACAACGTTTCGACCAAAATGAACAAAACAATAGACGCTTATCAAGTGGTTAATATGTTACATAGCCTTCGCCTGGTCTCCGGGGAGGGGTCGGGTAGCTTGCTTCGAATGTTTCTGGCCGCGCGAGCAAAAGGTTCGAAGTAAAGGGATGGCGTTACCTCGTTTCTCCGCCAACACCCTGTTCCTTGGACCTTTTTACTCTCGCCCCGCTCGCGCGGACAGAAACATTCGAACCGGAAAGCTTTCTATGCAGGTTGACATAGGTCTTACTGGGCTGGACAATTTTCCGAGAAAGAAAAAAAAATCCCCTCAGTAATAAATTAGAAACCCTGTCATTCCACAGCTGAGAACTCTCCACAATTTTTAATCTACCACCAGAACTGTATGCAAACGTTCAGCCAACACAGTTCTGCAGCCTCGCGGGAGTGGAATAAACTTTCCTCGACTCTGCTCTTACTGTTCGTGTGGGTCAAAATCGTCCGAGTTCGATTTGGGATTTGAGCATTTCATCATTATTCCGGTACGCACAGAAATATATATTAGTTTGGGTACTCCTCCTTTTTCCATCTTCCTTATTTCATTTTTTTATTTTTACTGGTAACAGTTTTTAAGACACTCTACATGATCCTCCACGAACTATGTCTCTCTTATAAGCATGCAGGGTGTCTTAAAAAAGGTAATGTTACCATTAACTGAATAAAAAATAAAATAGTGAAAACGCAGTACGTTGCTCAAAATGCTTATAAGAAAGACATGTTCGTGGAGGAGCAACAGTGCGGCGTTTTTACTAGTTTTAAAATGAGCTCGTTCCTCCCTCTCCCTCCTCATTCAGTGTTGTTGCTTTAACTTTGGTGATTGCTTGTAGAGGCAGAAAATTCCGGCAAAATCATTGATGAGAGGGGGAGGGGAGGAAGGGGGACGCATATTGGGAATTAACGCAAGTTACTCAACAGTTATGTCCGGGATTGTAGATAGGTAAGCAGGACATCTTAGCCCACCACAACCGACCCAGCATAACATAACGATATCAGAAGACGAGCCCAGAGTGTCGTCGCTTTTGAGCATCAAGTCCCTGTCCAGCCATCCTCCGTCTATTGACCCGATCAATAAGAAGACAGACAAACAGCCTTTATTTCAGCACGATGTTAATAAACGCTATGCAGCTTATGAGGTCATGCATACCGTATTTATTCGAATAAGCGCCCAACCTCGAATTAGCGCCCACCTCGAATAAGCGCCCATCCTAAAGACAGAAAAAAGTTAATAAGCGCCCAGCCTCGAATAACCTTGAGTAAATAAATTCCAATGGGACACTCCCCGAGGAGTTTTCTTCAGAGTATTTTACAGAAACCTTGCTTTGTTACTTCTTCGCGTTTTGTTATTAGCATTTATTGTTTTGTTGAAATAAGCGCCCACCTCGAATAAGCGCCCCGTCTCAAGGTCCAAAAATTTAATAAGCGCCCAGGGCGGTTAATCGAATAAATACGGTAAATACTAAACCTAAGAACGAAATATATGCATAATAACGTAACATAATAAATAAACTATCTAAAAGTCAAATTTTTGAAAACAATGACTGAACTATAGAAATATATATATATATATATATCCTAAAAAATACTGAAATCTGTACGTCTAAAAATTATGTACTTGTGGAGGTCTCTTTGAAAGTCAACTCTTTAAAAATGCCATTGAAGGGGTTTTCCTCTTCGGGTTTTTATAACTTGTATTAGAAAAATTCTTGTCCTTAGAAATTAAAATATTCCATAGTACAGGGCCTCTATGAGCTATAGAGCGAATCGAGGAATTCTGGGTGGTGTAAAGTTTATATACAGAAGAAGGAACATGGGCACCCAACGGCAATTTTCGGGAAAATATCTGTTCGGAAGACGATTTGAGATCTAGAATTTTCGGAGCATTTGCTGTAAAATTTCTTGCTTGCCTGCCTCTCCTAGGATTTTCGAACATCTACAAAATGGTATAATTACCCATTTTTAACGGATTTTGACCCTAAAAAAGGCCACCTAGAATTTTCGGGAGCCTTTTCCTGGCTGAAATTTTCGAGAAGGTAAGTTTTTATCCCTATAATTTTGGGATCACCAGACTTTCAGCTAGGAAATCCGAACTGATGAAAAGTTTTAGGGGATAAAAATATACCTATATCTACCGTTTGAATACTAAAATACGTTCAACAATGCTATGTTAAGTGGTTTTGAACTATATCCTCGTTGGGTGCCCCTGGAGGAACTACGCTACGCGGTCGTAAAAACCTAGAGCAAAGATTCATTTTGCAAATCGGCACCCTTAATCCTCACGGCATCAACGAACGCTTTTCATTCAATTAATTTATTCCTGTTTTTCACGGGACCAAGTTCCCACCATTAGCATAGCTCTTTCTGTATATAAACCTTACACTACCCAGAATTCCTCTATTCGCTCTGACGAAGGGCTAACGCTCGAAACGTCAGCTTTTCAATCTCTGTACTGTGGTCAATGTACATTATCAACTCCGTTGATAAATCAGATTTTCGTGTTTCACTCTCCCACCCACGCAGCACCACATTTTCTTCAGAAACTAACCTCCTTTGGTAAGTTAAAAATTTATCTTTGCTGCCCGACAGTGCAATCGTTCCAATGAGTCGATGAGATCAGCATTCAAGCACCACCCCCACAGAAAGAGGCCTTAAGTTACTGATGGCAATATGACTTTGAAATAAAAATTACTAAGAACATCCTTTTGTAAAAACCTCGACCTCCTAATTAGGTCTAGCTTCTTTGCGATACTCTTTTTGACATCCAACATATGCGGCACCCAGGAGAATTTATGGTGTACTGTTATACCAAATAAGCAAGATTTATTAACCCACTCTATGGCATCAGTGCCATAGTGGATATGCGCCACTGGCCCCATTGCACGGGTTTTACAATTTAGCATAGCTTCGCTAACCTATGTTCCTTAAAGACATTAGGACCATTTATGCGAGGAAAAATAAGACGCGTCTTAAATAAGACGCGAACTTTCCCTATAAACGGCACATTTCGTCTGAAATAAGACGCGGCTTAGCTAAGACGCGTCTTATTAGATAAGACATGCTCGTATAAATGGTACAGTTCGCGTCTTATTTAAGACGCGTCTTATGTAAGACGCTTCTTATTTTTCCTCGTATAAATGGTCCTATTATGTACCAGGGAGTCATTCACCTCTGAATCTATGATTTTGCTCGTAATACTGAGTAGCGATATTGGCCTGTAATTTTTATATCTGTAACATCGTCTTTCTTAAAGATCGGTGTGAGCTTTACTATTTTCCAGCTCGAATAGAGAGACTCACTTTCAATACTAGTATTGAATAGCCTATACATGGATGGTACAATGTCTTCCCCCACAAGCTTTAGTAATTTAGGTGATAAGTTGTCAGGGCCCGAAGACTTATTTGACTTTAGTTCGTTGACCGTCCTGCATGCATATTCTCCTAGGAGAGACCTCAATTTGAGATAGTAGCAGGGGTGACGTATCACCTAAGTCTGATCTATAAGCGCCTGTTGTTGCATTCCCAGGTGGTATTGGTAGTTTGGCTGCAATATTCGTACCAATGTTAGCAAAGAACGAGTTCATCAGGCCAGCCTTTTCTTCCTCGGTTAGCACCAAAGAATCATCACACTTTCTTAGTGGCTCAATTGGTTTACGTACCCTTGAGCTAGTTGCTTCCTTCACCAGCTTCCAATAGGCACTCGAACTCTTAACCTCGTTAAACATCTTCAAAAAATATAAAGCTTTGGCACGTCCTAAATCCGAGGTTATTTTGTTTCTGCTCTCTTATAGTCCGACTACAATTTTGCTCTTTTTGATGCAACAACAGCTTTAAACAACTTGTATCTTCGATTCATTGCTAAATGAAAGTCATTTGTTATCCACGGTGCAGAAGATGCTCTGACTTTGATCTCCTTCCATTGAGCAGACTGGTCACAGATATCAGTATAAAGTTTTTGCCGAAACCATATTTGATCGTCAGGATCGTCAAAAATAGACCCAGTGTGGAGGGGGCTGCACGTGTTGATGTGTTCTTATGGAGACGTTAGCCCTCAGGACCTGATACTATCGAGAGCAACGAATTCACGCCCTAACATCTATATCAGTCCAGATCCCTTTGGTGTTCATAACTATTGTTCACTGGATAGCGTCCAAGCAAGTCCATACCACAGTCCAACGTTGCTGTTTGTACTTATATCCGTTCGCCTGAAAGACCACACCTACGTTAACACCCTTCTAGTGCTCAACGAGTTTCATCATAAGATGTAGCAAAGATAACGTTATCCCGCGACAAGTAAACTTCCATCTTTACTGAAAAAGAATGGATCAGAAATCCATACAAGAATTAGCAATGATAATAGTAACATTGAAGAATATAACAAAAAATCAAGTATCTATCGGCGAGTTCCCGCCACACTCCGCAAATACAAGTTTTTTTACATTTTAGCTTATTAGCTATCAGCAATACTTTGCTATTAAGTATACTATAGTCATAGCATCCGTACCACGTAATATTTCGTATCCTGTAGAAAATTTTAACTTCCTCTGGTTCCCGGAGATAATGTCGAGTAAGCTAGTATAGTTGTGTTTGCTAAGTCGCGTCATTAAAAACTCCACGCTATTTGATCTTCTTTTTGTTCACATACCAGAACTACATTTTCAATCTTTCTAATTGTCTTGTTTTCCAAATCAGATTTACTGTACCATGAACGAATTTTTGAAGTTTTCGATAA